AGTACCTGTTCTTTTCCTATTTAGACTGGTTGTGTTGATATCAGACCATCACTCAACTTTTTAGTGAAGACTGAAGCAAAATAGGCATCAAGCACTTCAGCTTTGTTGATGTCCTTAGTTAACTCTCCTTCCCTGCTAAGTGGGGGACCTAACTCTCCTTCCCTACTAAGGGGAGGACTGTCCATTTCCTTCATCTCTCTTGTTTCATATGTATTTAAAGAACCTCTTCTTACTGCCTATTATGATCCTTGCCAGGTGTGATTCATTGTGTGCCTTTCACATTTTCTCCCGACATCCTTGTGCTGTTCTTTTGTATTTTTTCTCATCCATTTGACCATCCATTTCCACTTTTGGTAGGATTTCTTTTTGATTTTTCTAGTCACCAAAAAAGCTCCTGAAATACTTTGGAAAGAAGAGAGATGAAGGAAAAGGTCCAACAGCTCATTGCAAAACTGAGTGATGTTTGTTAGTTAAGATATTGTCTAGCGGGAAGTAATGTGTGAGGGCAGATAAACCTCATCTGGATCTGGCTAAAGGCAGGCTCTTCTTGGTCTTTTTGTGTGTGTTTTTTTGTGCAGTTCCTCTGAAAATGTGCAAACCTTTTCCACTCCATTCATAACTCCATAGCTCCTTGTTCTCACCTGTGCCCTGGAAATTGAGGATTCATAGTGAGAGGCTTCCCAGTTCCCTTTTAAACCTTGATATTCCACATATGGGACACACACATTTCTTTGGAGAAGGGCACATTATAATTTATTTTGGGGGAAAATATGCCCTTTATGTATCTCCTGGGCAGAAACAGCATGGAGAGCTGCAGTGCAAACTTGCCTCATTCTACCCCTTGCCAGCATGCATTGAACCTGAACTCTTGGGACCATGTGTGTTGGTGAGAGCAGAGTCTGTACCCATGATCCTCTCAGTTCTTAGCGACTCTGCTGGGATTGCCACCTCCTAGTCACTGGGATGGTGGTTTTAGGGTGTGGGCCATGCTGAGAGAACTACCTCCTGAGACCATGACTGAGATCCCACAACCTCATTGCACGTTAAGCAGTTTGGTAAATACTTTGAGTCCGCCAGTGAGTCGGACTGAACTTTGCAGCTGAGCTACTGCAGTCAAGCAAACTAGCCGCCCAGTTGCTCCCAATGCACCTAACATGTTTCATGCAATCTAAAAAGTCCAAAGCCTGTAGGACAGACATCACAAGAAACTGGCATGGAGAAATCAAACTCACACCCTTCAGTGCTCACTCTTTGTATTTTCAGTGGAACAGAGCAGCACACAGGCCCGTGGATAGGTGGGGGACGGAGGGAGCAAACGGGAAAAGTGCCCCGAAGCCTGGCGATTCAAAAGAGCCTCGGGCTATCACTCACCAACACTGCGGCCGTGACCAGAACCATGGGCCTTTAAATTGCCGCCAGATGCTGGGAAGCGAACTTCAGACAGCACGGAAGGGCTGATGGGGAGGAAATGAACCACAGCTCCTCCCCTTTTGCCTGAGGTCCCGCCCCTTCCAGGAGTGTGAAGGCCTTCCCCGACCTTTCCCACCGATCCAGTAATTCTGCCGGCTGCCTTGACTTTTAAAGCGGATGCTGGCTGTTTGCAATATTGTATTTCAAAAATACAGGACCAGTTTCCTGGTAGTGTCCCTCTGTCAGTACAAGTCAGACTAGGCCTGGCAGCCGCTCCGGGCGTGACAGAGGGGAAGCCAGGCCACCATTAGAGGGAGGGTATGTCTACACTACCCTCCTAGTTCGAACTAGGAGGGTAGTGTAGACATACCCTAACTGATGTCCCAAGGGCCACAGCTATGTGCTGCTGAAACTGGCTGGTCTGCAGCCAGCAAAGTAGGGAGTTTCCATGGCTACCTGCATGACGCTCCCCCTGCTGGACACTCACCATGCTGCTGCACTTGTGTCCATCACAGCAGAGCTACGGGCCTTCAGTTTTCCCAAGCTGAGAAGGCTTCAGCTCATTCCCTTTCCTTGGCATCCCTGGCACAGCTCCCCTTGCCTTTGAAGAAATGTTATGGTCAGAAAGCCCATTATGATAATGTAGCCTAACTTCCTGCATATGCTGTACCTTTGCTTGTTCTCTCTCTCCTCACATCCTATTAGTTTTTCTCCACTTGTTCTCTAGTCACATGATAGGGCTATCAGCTCTCTGAGGGTACATCTAAACTACACTGCATTTTCGAAAGAGGATATTCAAATTCCACGGGAATTTGCATATCTTCTTCTGATCTCACTAAGGTGCCACAGGACCCCTCGCCGCTATAGCTCTACCTAGTGAACCATGCTGTGCTGTAACTGAAGAAAATGAAACTGGCCAGACAGTTCCTGCCCATCTCTGTGTTGTATCAACTAATGTGAATAATATTTATTATGGTAATGGCAAGAACAGAGTCCCCATTGCGCAAGGCACAGTACAAACATAAAGGAAGAGATTAGTGGTGCCCCAAGAGGCATGTAGTTTAAGGAAGCATGCCCGCCCTGGCCTGCACCCTGAGAGGACTGGTGTGGGCTTCCAAACTCACCTGATCCGGAGGACCGGCCTGCCCACGTACAGTGGCCTGTACCCGAGAAGCAGCTGAAGCCGCTGGACTTGCAAGCCACCGAGGAATGGCCTGGACCCCCTGGACCCGAGCTGAACCCATCAACCCTGGAACCCCCGAGAGTTCTACCTGATGCCCAGGTACACATTGAGGGGGAGTTTGGAAGTGACCCAGGGAATAGTGAGGCCTCTTAAGTGCCTTCAGTCAGTGTGTTTCGGGCCAGAGCCTCTGCTGACCCAGCAGCCAATCGCGCTGCTGCTACTAGGGTCCTGGTTTGGGATGCAGTGGAGTGGGCAGGCCTGTGTCCCCCCTGCCACACACCTACTGGGTGGCAGTCTCCCCCTCTCCACCACTGCAGGTGAGCAACCTGTACTCCTTCAACTTCCTGAAGGGAGGTTCCAAGGAGGATGGAGAGAGGCTGTTCACAGTAGTGACAAATGGCAGAACAAGGAGCAATGGTCTCAAGTTACAGTGGGGAAGGTCTAAGTTGGATATTAGGAAAAACTATTTCCCTAGGATGGTGGTGAAGTACTGGAACGGGTTCCCTATTTTCCAAATGTCTCCTGAATGCTGCCCATCTCTCCTCGATGAAAGCAGATTTACCAGCAACTATGAGGAGGTGATGGGTACAATGATGATTGCTGAGATATTAAAGGTTCATGAGGCCCTGTCCCAATAGCTGGGGGAATAGATTGTTCCTCTACTACCTACATTTCTCCTGAGATTTGAACACGAATAAGATAACAGCATTCAGTTTATAGTACTTTGTAGTGTCCTTACTAAATATGGTGTTTCAGAGCATAAATTATAAATTTTAGTGGCTATATGAAGACTTGTCTCTACCAGAGCCTTTGATAACGTTCAAGACTGCATTGGGCCAGAGGCTGTATAAATAGACACAGATCTGTTCCCATTTACTCAGCATTCAAAATGAAGCTATAGCCTATACACTTTTTTCAAAGGCTGAAGTTTTAAAGGATTTTTTCTAACCTTACTGATATTAAAACCCAAGGGAAAGTGTTTAGTATAACGGTGCTTATAGTTAAAGTTACTGAGTCAAAAGTGTAGTAGTTTTACCTATTCACAGCAAAGGGTGGTATATAAGAAGTAAAATAAAAGCCATGAAGAACTATAATTCAAATGTCAGAGCTTTAAAAATTGACGCAGCTCTTAAGTGTGAAATTAGAAACTAGTCAAGGTGTTTCTGCCTTAGAGATTAAGGCTATTTTAAAATTATTTTTTGCTAGAGACTAAATTAAATTCAGTATCAGTTTCACATAAACATTCATGGATGCCATGAGTGAAACCCTGGATTAAGGAGGCAGCTCTAGCCCCACCCCTTCCACCTGTAGTCCCACCCCTTCCGTGCCCCAGTCACCACACCCATCCAAGGAATAGATCTACACTGGAGAGCACCAGCCTGGAGTTCCCACGAGTGACATATGTGCAAGGGGCCAAATTCTTCCCTGGAGTAGCTCCATTCACCGGCTTCAGTTGAGTTACAGGAGGGGTGAATGGGAGCTGGTGAATTTGATCTCGTTTGCTTCGAAAAGCAACCGTGTGGGCTGTTCCCTTTACACTTTCTCATCCCAATGTTTCACAGAGCGAGGGAAATGACTGACCCTTTCCAGGCCAGATTCTGCACAGAGCTCAGTGTGTGGGGAGTACATTGGGTCCTGAGCTCTTGGAAATCTGGCCCCCGTCATTGGCACCGAGCACTTTCAGATGTGACCCTCAGAGTCTGCTCCTTTCAACAATAAGCTTAACAAGCTGACAGTGCCAGTGAGGATGCCATGGGAGGGGAAAGCACGAAAAGCTGGGATGGTCTGGGGGCTGAACTGCTGAGCTTAGCTGGTGATCCAGAGCCATCCCTGCTGTGAGATCGGGAAGAGGAAGGACATGTGTGGCAGGTATATGAGACAGGGGAAGGCATTGCCTTCCCAAATGGCCAGGCATTGATGGCCCCGCCCACACTCCATCGCCAGAACTCCTACTGCTGAGAACCCTGCTGAGCCAGGCAGCATTCTGGGGATGGCGTGTTGCTGCCCCTGGGCTTCAGCCATGCTGTGGTTGGTGACACTGGAGGCTGTGTCCGTGCTGTCTGGTGCTCCAAAGTGTGTGTGGCTGCACTGCCCGGCGCTTGGGGAGGTGAGGAGATGGAGTTAACCTGGGGCAAGGGCAAGCAGCATGGGGGAGCAGCCACAGTGCAGGCTGTGCTGTGGTGGGCATGAATGGGTGGGTCTTCAGGTGAAAAGGACGGAGCTGGGGGGTAGCCTTTCCAAGCCAGCTGTTCGCTCACTGCCCATGGAGAAGGGTTTGTGGGGCATGACAGACCTTGCGGCAATGCCGGAGGAATCAGTAAAGGCAAATCACAAAGGATAATCTGGGGGAAGGAATGGGACAATACTCAGTGGAAAAGACAGTTCTTCTGGGGGGAAAGTAACTCACCCTTGTAAACATCCAGTTTAATTGCCTTTAGTCGACTCACTGTATTAGAAGAGCCAAGGACTGCACACCAGTACTCTCCGGAGTCCTGCACCTGCAGCTTCTCCATGGTGATGGTCACAGTCCCCTTTCCGGTGTCTTTAAATTTACATTGCTGCTGCGCTGAGCCGACAACCAGCTGATCAGCTGTTTGTCCGCTCAGCGTGCTAGTCTGGACGCTCCCCTGCCTTCATCAAAGCCCTTTGTCAGCAGCCCCGTTATTCCTCGTGGGATGAGGTTTACCGTGGCTGCCGACAAAGGGCTTTGATGTCGACACCCGCGCGTCCAGACTAGCGTGCTGAGCGGACAAACAGCTAATCAGCTGTTTGTCGGCTCAGCGCGGCAGCCATGTAAATTTAAATGAAGCCGCGATCGTTTAAATCGCGGCTTCATTTGACTTTGCCAAACAAACAAATCTACATGGCTCGGTCGACGGAGCCATGTAGTTTAGACGTACCCTATTAGAAGAGCCATTGCGTGCACACCAGTACACTCCGGAGTCCTGCGCCTGCAGTTTCTCCATCGTGATGGTTACAGTCCCCTTGCACGTGTCATCCTGTATCGTGGCTCTTCCAGTGGTTACTTTGTTTTGGTATCTGCCTTGTGATGTATAGTAGGTGTTAACTAAGAAAAAGCAGATCGTTGCTCTCAGTTGGCACCAGGTTTTCTCTGTTGCATTGTAATTCTGTGCACTGTAGGGACACTCAACAACGAGACTCTGCCCCTCCACTCTGCTCTCCACGGTGTCGTACACATGTGCCTGGGATCCTGGAAAACAGCAGCCCTGATCAGTAAGAGCTGGGATTGGAGCCGGGTGGCCTGCGGAGCCCTGTAAGCCCCACACTGCAGCACTTGGAGTAAACACAGCCTGAGAATTCGAGGCTGGGAGACAGTGGCACTGAATCAGTACAATCATGTTCCCTGGCACGTGTACAAAGACAGCAACAGACCCTAGAGTATCTCCAGCACATGTCCCCTGCACACGGCACGTTGTCTCAGCGAGTGTTCCCATGTTCTGTTTATTACAGCATTTCACTCTCTCTGGTGGTTAAGCCCCTGTGCCCCCTATTTACATGTAGGTAACTGACAGTCAACCAGCCCACATTTTACCCACGGCAACATCAGCCGACATGCTCGTGTTAAGGCGCACTAGAGGTTTGCTTCTCATAAAAGTTGTGCCAAACACTTGCGGTACCCAAGTGTAAGAGAGAGCAGACTCAGGCGGTTTCCTTAAAATCTCTCTGCAGTGAAGAAGCTGGGCAGCGGAGCACAGATCTCAGAGCTGGCTGTCTCTGCGCTAGCAGGGGATGGTCTGGATGTCCCAGTAGAGCTTTTCAGTCTCTCATTTCTGTGTATTCAGGAATGGTGCTCTCCTAACTGAGATCTGACCTTTCCACAGTCGCTTTCTGCCTATGCTAATTGGGCAAACTGCTAGTTTAATGTCCAGTCATTTAAGACACACTACTAGATGGGTGAAGCCCGCTGCTCCTCAACTGTAGGGCAGTGGAACTAGCCAGAAAGCTTCTTTATTATGTGCATCCGTATTAATCCTCTATAATGCAGCATGGCGGAGAGGCCTAATTGTACTAGTGGCTCCCCCACCGGCCAGGAAGAACTGGGTGCCGCACTTAAGCCTCTTTTCAGGCTCTTTCCTTAGGACACGATTAAAAAACCCTCCCAAGAGACCACAAAACAAAAGCTTTTCTCCTCTGGCAAAGGGGCTGCAAGAGCCATGAACTTTCCCTCTGCCCTTGTAACAAGCCTGCCAAATCATGTTCCATTAGGCCCATCTGCCCCACCTATTGGTTCTGCTCCACCTAAGTTCAACCTTCCACTCTAGTGTAGACCAGACCTGAGGGCGTGCATTGGTGCAGCTACATTGTTTTACCGACACACATCCCCAGTATGGACAGCTCCCTAGGGAGAGGTATAGAGTGGAAAGGTGGGGCCATGAGCAAGGATCCAGTCCGTACATTGCAAATACTGGGGAGCGACTGCGTGACGTACGCAAGAATTCTTATGTTGAGTATCAGTGTCTGCTAAGTCTAGGAAACCATGGTTGGTAAACAGGCAGTCATGTAAAGGAGAAACTAGGGTTTTAAATAGAGGATTTGAAAGCTGTTTGAGCAGGTGTGACATGCTCCGTGGTGGAGGTTTAGTGGTTTTCACCGAGCTGCGGTCTGACATTTTCCAAATTGCTCAGCATTCTGCTGCTTCCATTGAGAGCTCTGTGCTCACTCTCCGCTCCCCACGTTTTTCTTAGATGGAGTTGCTGAGTGGCTCTGGTCACATAATGGGAAAGTTTCTGTGGATGTACTCACTTTTCATCAAATTAACAACACAGCTATTGGTTATTGGCTGGAGAATATGTGGGGCTTGGGTGTTTGTTTTTGTGTGCGTGCGAAGAGATGAAATTTGAAGAGCAAACACTTTTTTTAGTTGAAAACCCAGTTTTCCATTCAAAACATTGTGGATGGAATGGTTTTGAACACTGCTAATGTTGATGCTAAGTGCTTTTTGAAAATTGGGCCCTGTTTGTGCCTCACTGGATTAGAGTTGTCTCTGGCAATTCAAGTCTATTTCTCCTCCCTCTCCCTCTGGCATAAATCTAAAGTAAATCTCTTGATGTCAAGAAAATTATGCAGGTGGGAGATCAGAACCGGTTCCTACATGGTTACATCGGAGTTCCAATGGCTGCTGTGAGGTTCTTTGGCTGTTCTTTGGATGCATTGATGGCTGCTATCAAACCCTCTCTCACTCTTCTCTTGTGCAGACTAAGCCCAAATCCCTCAGCCACTCCTCATAAGTCATGTGCTCCAGACCCGTAGTTATTTTTGTTGCCCTCCACTGGACTTTTTCCAATGCGTTCACATCCTTTCTGTAATGGGGGGCCCAGAATCAGACACAACAATACTCTAGATGTGGCCTCTAATAAAGGGGAAATAGTCCAAATAAAATGCCAAATAAAAGGGAATAATCACTTTTCTAGATCTGCTGGCAATGCTCCCACCAATACGCTGTTAGCCTTCTTGGCTACAAGAGCACACTGTTGACTTGTATCCAGCTTCTCATCCACTATAATCCCCAGGGCCCTTTCTGCAGATCAGCTGCTTAGCCAGTCGGTTCTCAGCCTGTAGCAGTGCTTGGGATTCTTCCATCTCAAGTGCAGGACTCTGCACTTGTCCTTGTTGAACCTTATCAAATCTCTTTTAGCCTAATCCTCCAATTTGTCTAGGTCACTCTGGACCCTATCCCTACCCTTCTGCATATCTACCTCTCCCCCAGCTTAGTGTCATCTGTGAGCTTGCCGATGGTGCATTCCATCTCCTCACCCAGGTCATTAATAAAGATGTTGAACAAAGCCAGCTCTAAACGGACCCAGACACACCCCACCAACCAGGCATCAATTTACCCAGCTTTCCATCCACCTTACAGTCTATTTATGCAAGCTATACTTCTTAAACTTGCTACCAAGAATTCTGTGGGAGACCAGATCAAAAGCTCTGCTAAAGTACCCAGTGAAAAAGGAAGTGGAAGAGCAGTGGTAAAAACCAGACCCACCCTGGAAGAGAACTCTTATAGTTGTGGTATGCACTTGTCCACAGACTTAGAGACTTGATTGCACTAGGGGCTGTACAAAGTCAGTTGACAGTCTGATCCTGCAGTGAGATAACTGAGGCTTAAGAAGACAAGTAAAACAAGAAAGGTGGAGAGGGTCGAGGAGAGAGATACAGTCACACGTGTACACAATAACGTTTTCTGTACAGCTCTCCCTTGAAATATTATAAAAATGCTGCCAGAGGAAATAAGCCAGATTTTATCTCACATTTGGGCTTCCCTGGTGCCTACCAAAGGAAACATCCTTTAGATCTTTAGAAGGCTCCTCTAATGCCTCACTCCTGTAATGCCCTACAGTGCATATCACATAATCCTCACAGACTCACACAAGACTTATCAGAATATTAATGCAAAGAGACATTTTAGGGACTCTAAAATAAATAATTAGAGACCTTGATCTGCCCCTTCTAATGGCAACGGGATACGCATAGGCCCAGTACTCAGATGCTGTAAATCAGCAAAGATCCATTAACTTTAAACGATGCCAATTTGGGAGACCAGATTACACCATTTGAGGGCCTGTTCCAGAATGTCTCTCTGACAATAGCAAGTTAATAACAAGATAGAGATCTCCACCCATATTTTTACAAGGCTACATTTGTGTGGTGTATAGTGTGTGCTCAAAAATGTTTGCCCATTGAGCCTGGCATTCCCAGTGTTTGGTATAAATTGGTGTCTCCCCATTGCCTTCAGTACAGCTGGAGTGGCAATTTTGCTCCACTTGAGATACTGGTCTGGCATGGATTCTCACACTCTGTATTGTGCTGTTTCTTATACACTCCACAGCACATTTGAGAACCCAGGCAGGGAAAACACAGCCCCTGATCCCGCCTCCACCTGTAACTCCATGTAACCCCAAAGTATCACATCACTCCCCCACCTCGGAGTTTTGTTGGAATATAGTGAAATGGATTTCACTTTGGAAAGGGCAATGGAGATTTAGAACTCACTTTCTCTCCACACTCTCTCCTATCGACACTGAAGCTGCATGAGGAAGTAGCTGAGGTGTTGCCTTCACACTGAAGTTCTTCATCATGTACTAGAATGCGTTACCTAGGGAGGTGGTGGAATCTCCATCCCTAGAGGTTTTTAAGTCTTGGCTTGACAAAGTCCTGGCTGAGTTGATTGAGTTGGGATTGGTCCTGCCTTGGGCAGGGGGCTGGACTCAATGACCTCCTGAGGTCTCTTCCAGCTCTATAATTCTATGATTCTATGTTTTGCAATGAAACTGATATAAAGAGAATTTAATGGTATATTTAGGGAAGTGGATAGCAACAAAAGAGTTAGGCCAATCCAGGGGGAGGGGGACTTTACAGTCCATTGTATGCATTCCATTTCCGTGCTCAGGAAGCCCACCTTTGGTAGTGGATGGATAGTGCCAGAGAAAAGTGCCAGAGAGACACCTCTGGCGTTCAAAGTCTCCTAAATCTTACTAATGCTGCATAAAGCTCC